CTGACTTCCTCCACGCGGGATATACTGTACATACATGGTGATACTACACTGTGACTTCCTCCACGCGGCATAGTCAGTACATGCGTGGTGATACTACACTGACTTCCTCGACGCAGGGCAGAATTTACTGGAGACCTTTACTTGGCCTGACGGTCAAGGAATACCACAGAGGTCTGTCTCAAAGTTTCTCCCATGAACAAATGTACATGCCACTTAGAAAATACGGAGACATAGGGGTACTCCAAGAAAGGGCCTTCAGATCCCTTTCATTTCTAAGTCCACTAGAAGCGTCTGAATCTTGGCTAGTGGTACTTCATTTTTCTAGTTTCCAAGGGCCCGGGCCGATTCCCTTTTGTCGGCCTGAAATCTCTGTGATTTGATCATCTCCCCTTCTCTGAGAAAGGCGGGGACAACTGCGACCACTAAGGTGTGTCAGGCCAGTGTCGCGTCACTCCCGCAGAGCGGCACGAAATGTCGCGGACTCCTGTGAAGAGTTTTTCTCCAAATACGGGGCTATCTGGCTCTTTCATTTTGTGCAAAAGGCCTTCCCTTCAAGGCGCCGCAGATGCAGCAGTGAAGCGTGGGCCCCTGCCAAGAGGCGTCCCGTGTCTCCCTCCTGATGAGGCAGCGCCTAATACAGGGAAGCCACTTGTCCACACACCACAGGGCCCAGCTCTGCTCCCCGCAGAGAGCCGGAACCACACGCGGGGCCGGCTGAAAGCAGGGCGCAGACAACTGGGAATCGGGAGGCGAGCCTCAGAGGGCAGAGTGGGGGACGACGCATCAGCTCTGGACTCCACTTGGTCCTCCTAGTGTCCTGAATTCCCCCATGGTCCTCTGGTATTTTAAAAATCATAACGGCCTTCGATTTAAAAAGGAAGTGTTGCCCCTCGCTTGGCCAGTCTAGAACCCTCTCTGAAACTCCAGCTGGCTGACTGCTTTCCTCACCTGCAGACACCAAGGGCTGGTCTTTTCCTTTTAAGTCGCTTCCAGGATTCACGCCCCTCCCTCATTATCAGAGCCTCCCTCGGGCCCAGACACTGTCCCCAGTGATGGCAGCTGAGCCTGCAAGTCCCTCTGCGTCTAGGTGCCATCTGGCATGCAGCCTACAGCGCTTCGGCCAAGCCGGCCTTCCTCCTGCAACTCTCCAGTTAGCTGCGGCACCTCACAGAGTCCACCCCACTTACTCCAGTCTCACCCCTTGCCACTTCTAAACCCTCATCCCGATCCTCGGCTCAGTCTTTCCACAGCCGCCTGCAGCCACCCGGCCCGTTTCACCCCTGCCCTACTCATGCTCTCCCTCTCACTGAGCGTGCCCTCTCTCCTCACCCCTGTGTACTGAAATCGTGCTGCTTCTCGCGCCAGCAGGACGGCTGCAAGGCCATGTGCTCTAGAATGTTCTCCTTTTGTTCTGCTTCTGTTTAATGCCCGCTAGGTGTTTCTCAGGCCCTCACTATCTCTGGTTGGATTTTCCTCTTATTTCTCGTGCTTGTCTTTTCTGTCCATAAAATTGCAAGGACCCCCAAGCATGAGCACTGAGCGTTGAGAGGTCAGGCCAGAGCGGTGACAATGCAGAAACGGGGGAGGGCCCACTTGCAGTCGTGGGGACCAAGGGACGCTTCACCACAGGTAACTTAAGAAAAAGTGCGCGTTCTGACCGCGCCGTTCAGGGAGAAGCTGCGTACGCGCAGCAGAGAGGCCTGAGCGCTTTCTCCTGGAAGAGGTCCGTGGCAACTAGGTTTTTGTCTAGAAGTGTTGGCCTCCTACCTTCATCTATGTGAAAGGAGTGTCCTCTCCCACTGCACTGATGTCAGCGTAGCTAGAGGGGACTCCAAGAGGTTTGTGGGGAAATGTAATTACCGCACAAGTTTATTTTTGGTGCAGAACATTTTGAAATCCATCCATAGTTTTCTAACACATATCTCTCATGAACTTTTTCAGGACCCTTTGTATGACTCGGTTCGCTAACGGAATATTAGCCGATGATGTGGCAGTGGGCTGAGAAATGCTTAAGCAATTGGATTTTTCTCTTGCATCTCTGCAACCATAAAAGGAATATGCCCAGACTGGCCGGATGACCCCCGAGAGGAGACGGAAGGTGTGTGGAATACAGCCAAGCCTAAACCGGTCAACCCCAGTCAAGTCGGAATCTATGACCAAGCCCAGACCAGGTGAGCTGTCCAGCACAGGAGCAAGGGGTAATTACAGCCGCTGACCTTCAGGTGACTCCTTACGGAGAGTCACGGGGACCTCAGTCAGCCTCTGCCAGGCATGTGCCCGCGACACCCTCGCCCCTGTCTGCTCTGCTGTGCCCAGCCCGAGGAGCCCATCACGCCCCTTCTCTGCTCTCACCCGACCGTCCTCCATGCTGAGAGCTTCGGGCGCCAAACCTACCTACTGCAGCCTCCTCCTGGGCTTGGGCTGTGAGCTCGGCCTCCTCGACGCCGTGGATCGCCACGCTCACCTCCCGCGTCAGCTGCCTGACCCCGTCCCCTCCGCGCAGCTCGAACATGAGGTCCGGGGACCCCATGGCCGCTAGCTCGCTCCTGTCGAAGTCCTGCACACCCACAGACACGACCTTCACGCCCCTGTCCCTCAGGATCTGTGCCACGTCCCAAACGTCGTCTTCGGATTTGCCCGAGGTCATGACCACGGCGTACTGGGGGACGCCCTGGAGAAGCCGGCTCCCTGCTGCGTCCCGGAAGAGGGTCTGATGAAGGTACCGCAGACCTTGGGCGGTCCTCCTGGGGCCCCCGCGGAGCACGAAGTGCGTGTTGATGTGAGCAATCACTTCCTCCCGGGTCTTATAGGTACTGAGCAAGAACTCCGTGTGACCCTGGCCGCCATACTGAGCCAGCCCAATCCGGTACTTGTCCCTGCCGACCTCCAGCTCGCGGATCACTCCCGAGATGAAACTCCGCATCCACTGGAAACTGGCCCCGGACGTAGCCTGCGAGGTGTCAGCCAGGAAGACCACGTCTGCATAGGCCTTGCCGGGCTCTGTGAGTAGAGAGGACACGGGTCAGGAGAGAAAGGGAACAGAGGAGAAGGTACATCAGACCAAGCTCTTAGGGGAAGCCGAGTACAGACAGCGTGTGGGGCAGTGTGAGAGGGAGAGGTACTTAGTCCACCACGCGGTGCCTGCGGTTCTCCGTGCCCACGAGGGACTCGACCACGTGTCTCTTCCCCCTGTGGCCTGCCTTCACGGTCTGCTGTAGTAAACTTAGCACTTTCCCACTGTCCCTCGACCCACAGAGGCAGCAGGAGAAATCCACCACCACGGAGCAGCTGCTCTGAGCTGGGGCTCTCACGCGCTGGGTCTGACTGACCCTCGGCATGCCGTCCGGCCAGGTGGGTGCGATCATGCGGCTGGCAGATGGGGACACGGACGTGAAGAAGTGAAGGCCCTCATCTGTCCTCACGTAACTACAAAACGCCGAAGGAGGGATTTTAAAAACCGGCCTTCTGGACTCCCAGATCGGGGCTGTTTCCTCTGAACGTCATGGAGGATGTCCCCTCGCTGTCCCAGTGAGAACTCCAGCCACTCTTCAAGGCCCAGTTCAGGGGTCCCTTTCTGTGAAAATCACCCAGTGACGGGGACACGCCTTCTCTTGCCCTCCGTTACACCCAATGCTCCGAGAAGCGACAGGCCCCTGAGCCCTTCCACCCCGCCGCCCGGTCATCTTCGGAGGCTTCGGCCATGCTCTACTGACACCTCCAACCCTGAAACGCACTTGGACAACGCCTTGACTCTTATTAAGAGGAAGTAAACTTCTGTGACTTTCACCGCATGCAGAGAACGGGACTGTCCTCTTCCCAGTCAAAATAAGCCATCAACTCCTGTCTCCCAGGACGAAAACTCATCTTTGGGAGTGTGTAGCACCAGCAGGCCACAAGCTGGAGTGCGTCCGAGGCCTCGGGCACCCCTCACAGCTCTAACAGGCCTGGGGCCTGGCTACCGCTCTCCCTTTAGTCTCTGCAGCACTCACGGGGTTGTTCTGGGGTGGAGGGAGACGGCCCACTGGGGCAGAGGTGTCAGTGCTCTGCCCGACCCTTCCGGATTCCTTCCGCCACCTTCGTGGGCTGCTCTTCGGGAGACGTCGCCCCAGCTTCTGCAGCTGCTTTGCTCACAGTGTGGAAGAGCCCAGAGCCTTGCCTGATGCAGACTGAGGGTGGAGATAGCTCTGAGCACCACGTACACCCTGGAGCGTCCCTGCAGGATCAAGCTAAAGCTCCCCTTCATGGAGCCGTAGCCTCGAGGCATTCTTTCCTGTCTCCCTCTCCTCCTCTCTCTTGTTCTCCCCACACCACTGCGGTCCACTCCTGGAAAGTATTTCCTTAAGGAGTCCCGCATATCCAAATCCTTGCCTCAGGCTCTGCTTCTCTACTCACCGCATGTGCCTAGAGGAACCAGCCTACTTTAGAAGATCTGGGATCAAGTCTCTAGCTCTGCCATTCACCCATGGTATCTTTGAAAATGCAAATAATAACTCATTTGTGATATCTTTGAAAATGCAAGTAATACTAATCGCCCTCTGTAACAAAGTTCAAAGGATGGGTCAGGTAAGCAATGAGAACAAGTTTTGAAGACGGTATGCCGCCAATCAAACAGTAATTGTTACTCCTACGTACAGAAATCTTCCCCGTAAACCTAATGCAACGCTACCACTGGACACCTGCTCCACCAACTGGTCACAAGTTTGGCACTTCCCCCAGCTCGCCTGCCCTATGTACAAATACTGGAATAATGAGCAAGTAATGAGGGCTCTATTCCTTGGCGAGTTCTTGGGGGACTGGCAAGCACTGTTCTCTTTCTCTGCTCAAAGTTGTATGCTTAATTATGGAGTTTAGTAATCTCTTTAAAAATACTTGCCCGATTTACGCCCTGTCACCAGTAAAGTACAAAACAGATGACCGGTAAGTCCCCCTCGCACGGCCCGGGGGTGCGTCCACCCAGCGAGGAGCGGGCCAAGTTCTAGTCCCCCTCGCACGGCCCGGGGGTGCGTCTGCCCAGCGAGGAGCGGGCTAGGTTCTAGTCCCCCTCGCACGGCCCGGGGGTGCGTCTGCCCAGCGAGGAGAAGGCCAGGTTCTCTACAGGCACAACCCTCTTCATGTTTGCGACAGCTCTGAGGCGAGTGCTCTCAGCCCAGGAAGAACATTTAGATTCAGGACAGTAAAATGACTGGTCCACGCTGACACCGAAAATGGAGAACTGGGGTTTTAACACGGATCTTTCCGTCCCCTAAATTCATCCTCCTAAGCATCCTTTTCCACCAACACACTGACAGCAAAACAAGAAAAATTTTGGGGGAAACCTATTATCCTTCATATGTTCTCTGTCCTCTACTCAGGCATTATGGGTAAATTAATCTAGGACTAGTAATATTCTAGTTACAAGTAATTCTTCTTTCAGAAGTGAACTTACAGTATGTCAATATACAGAAGTGAACTTAGAGTACATCGGTGTAGAGGAGTGGGCCTAGGGAGCGTCAGCGTGCAGGAGCGGCCAAGTGTCTGCTTGGTGACTGGACAGCAGAGCGCATGCACGGTTGGTTCAGTGAAAACGAATTTAAAGTGAAGCGTGCACACAGGCAGACAAAGTGGGGAGGGTGGTGGAAGAGGTGAGGCGAGGGCGAGCCGTGCGTCCCCTGACGCCCCGGCGAGAGTGAGAAGGGCGGTCTTTGTACCTGGAGCGACGGGGTCAGCAGAGGGGTCAGCAGGCAGAGCTGTCTGAGCCAGCGTGTCACAGAGCTCTCTCCGCAGCTTCTGCCCCAGACCACCCAGAGCAGAAAAGGTGGGGACGCGAGCGGCGAACCTCTCCTCGGGACGGCTGGCAATGTCCCTGAGCTCGGCCTGCACCGCATCTCGGATGCCCACGGCGTACAGCAGGACCCCTGCCCTCTTCAGGGCCTCGGCGGACTCGCGAACCGGGTCCTCAGCCGGGCCGCTGCTGACCACCACGGCGACCTGCGGCACGCCCTGGTGGGCCCGGCTCCCAGCCGCCTCCTGGAAGTGGTGGTCTCGGAGGAACCGCAGGGCCAGGCCCGTCTTCCTGCTGCCAGGCTGAAACTGGAGCCGCTGGATGTGTTTCAGAACGTCGCTTCTGCGGGGGTAGGTGGCAAGCAGGAACTCTGAGCGGGGCACGTCGCCGGCCTGGGCCAGACCCACCCGGACGGCATCCCCGCTGACGTTGAAGCCGTTCACCATGGTCTGCAGGAAGTTCCGCACACTGCGGGCATGCTGCGGGCTGACGTTGCCATCCACCAGAAACACCACGTCGCCCACGGAGGCCTCCCTGCAGGCTGGAAAAGGGAGCCACTTTCACGGAACCCATGGCGACATAACCCCAGGCTGTCGGTCCTGGCTCAGTGCCTTCACACCCGGGTAGGCCTGCTGCGCTCTCGGAGCCTGGCCCTCGGCAGGCAGCCCGGCCCGACACCAGCTTCCTCAGGGCCGTCGGCCCTTGCTCACCTGCCACACGGATCGTGGACCTTTAAATGGGACTCCACCCTGGCTCTGCCTCCACCCCTTGAACGTAATAAAGAGCCCAGTTCCCTGCCAGCGTTGGTGCTGTCGGTACCCTCCAGACTCTCCGGGCCAGCGGGCACGCCCATCCCCAGTGGCTTCAGTGCTGCACGGATTGTTCACACCCGTGACTTCCCCACGAGGCCTGCCTGGGCTGATGGGGTGGCCTCATCTGCAGACACCCAGGAAGTTACAGCGCCACCACCCGGGTGGCCGACCTCTGACCGCCATGGAGGAACAAGCTCCTGGTGCACCTGCTTAAGTACAACAACTCCAGGCCCCCTTAGGCTCCAGTGCTTCCCCGACTCAGCCCTCAGCCGGGCTTAGCCCACCTGCAGCTAGCACTCCCGCCTCCCCTCTCTCTCCTACATGGATCACTCCCTTAAGACTTGTCCTAAAAAGCACTCGCTCAGATTACTCTTGACCCAAATTCCTGTGCGCGACTCTGCCTCCAAGGAACGACCTACAGCGTCCGCTTTCCAGCTCTGGCCTCTGAATTCCCGTGGGTGTGGTTCACATTTGTCCTTTAGCTTCTGGAACTCAACACGGCCCCTCTCCCCAACCCAGCTCTCACTCTCGAATCACATCAATGGCAGCCAGACCCACGGATAGCCCACCCGAGTCACCCTGGCCTCCAGCGAGCGTGGGCTCCAGCACCCGTGGCTGAAGGGCTCATACAAACTGCTCGCTCCTCGGTTCTCAGGTCGAAGGGCTCTGATAGGGCTTCACCAGCCGGCTTGGTGTTTGCCAGCTCAGATCTGCCTTGGTATGGCAGGGATCCTGCGGTCCACTAGGCACAGTGCTAAAGAAGAGGTTGTTATGATGGCTCCTCTCAGCAGCCACCCTGACTGCCGCACTGCCCACGCTTCCCGATCTGGTGAAACACATTTTCACTTGGTTTCATGCCAAGACGGTTAAAATACTAACGCGGGCCAGCCCTGCACACTCGTCTCTGCCGGCCTGCACGCCTCGTCTCTGCTGGCCCTGCACGCCTCGTCTCTGCCGGTGGAAGCTAGACCCCATATGACCAGCCTTGCAGTTCCAGTTCTGGATACCAGCACCTTGAGGAGCACGCTGGGTGCAGGTGTGTGCCCAAAATCCCGAAAGGAGAGAGAAACGGAGGAGAAAGGATTGCGGCGTGACCAAGCCGGCAGGGCGTGCTCCCTCCCCTCTTCCTGCCTCTCCAGCGGCACACATGCCTTCTTGCAAATTTTTTTAAAAGAAAAGAAAAAATCAAGTGCCACCATTCACCAAAAGCTTCCAGATTCTGACTAAATTCTCCTTCAAGGAATCATCTCCCTTTTGTTAATGATGGTGCCCTATAACATTTTCTAAGATCGTCACTGTCACGAAGTCTCTGCAAGATGACCAGTTTGGGCATAAAGAACCCCAGCATTACCGATCCTCTGCGACTTGATGGAAGAGAAGCAGGCTGCCAGGACAATGATCCCCCAAAACGCCTCGCGGGCCTTCATCCTGGCGGGCACCTCGAGAGAAAGGGATTGAAAGAATTCAGACGCTTAATGTGACTGCATCGCACTGCGTGTAAATTACACCTCAATAAAGTTGACACGTTTTCAAAAACGTAACTCCATATTCGTCTTCCGCAGACCAACAGGAACATTACAAAAAATAAAAAGGTGAAATAATAAAATAAAAATGAAAAAGCAAAGGTTACCGCCTTGTTTCAACTGTGCAAGCAAAGTGGTGTGGTTGACCCACTCGGGAAGAGCTTTGTGAACACCCAGAGCACACACTCAGACTTCCTGTGTGAAGTCCAGACGGGACTACGAAAGCAGAAGCCTACAGGCACGGGTAGGACGCCTGTCTCACACTCTAAACTTATTTGGTAAAGCACAAACATCTCTGCGTGACTTATACCAGAGCTGGGCAACCTGATAAACACTTGAGGTATGCAGAAATATTTGAGTATTTCAGGACCACATCTGCTGATAACAATCAGCCTCGCCTGGAATATTTTATACACTCCCAGAAGAACCCCGGACTCCCTTCCCCTAAACTTGGACCCATTCCCAAGGCACCCGTGCAAACTACCCCCATCCACGGCTCTCCATGCCTGCCTCCCATCTGTGAAACACCCACGGCGGGCGGGTTTAGGACTGCGCACTCACCGGAGGAAAACCCTTCAGCCTCCTCGTGAACTCGGAATGCCACTTCCTCTCTCCAGGTTTGTGTGGAACATGGAGAGGGCACACTACCGACTGGAGAGGCCCGCTGCGCCCACTCCCCTGCAAACACTGCCCAGCCCAGGCCAGCGCCTCTCCGATAAGCAGATGGATAGAATTAGAGTTCTCTGATCCTCAGTTTCTCCATCGGCCTCCCCCAATGCCTCCTCCAGAAGGTGTACGAATGATTTAAGGAAGAAAATGTTCTTTCTTTCTTCCATGAGAGAGGGACAGGAAGGCAGTGAGAAGCAGTCATCAGCAACACCAACGGGGTCCGAATGCCGTGACCCACGCCGTCCTGGCAGGCCCAGGTGTGCATGGGCATGGCTGGCAGGCTTGGGCAGGTCTTGGGTCCTCCCCAGCCGGCCCAGCTGTACCTCCACCTGGCATCCAGGAGAGATACCTTCAAACTTAAAGTACCCCAATAAGCTTTTACCCGATGTAAATACATGACTATGTGAATTTTAAAGAAGAGGCTTTTCCAGGGGATCAAGGACTACAGGTGGATAAAGAGCTTGGGAGTTCACAAGTGCCAAAATGATCCAAAATAAATCTGTAAACCATCGCCCTTGTTACAATAAAATGGCACGCCTCGGTTTTTGAAAGTCTTGGTTTAATGAAGTTAGGTGAAAAAGGACCTTCAAATACAGTATATTTTTGTATTTCATTATGTTCCAGTTATTACTGTCAATGCAATTAGTCATGAAAAATGAGAAGTATGTTTAGTTCATCATAAATAAGGCACTAGAGTTGTTTATACACCTCTAATGGGAAATTTGAAAGCTTGTAAACATTTTTTAGCTGTGCATGGGCACGTTGTACCAGTGAAGAGCCAGTGGCTGTGTATTAAGGAGTTTGCGTCTACACCGCATTCCCTCTCCTGAGGGTAACTACATCTGATTGAAGCCGCTAAGGGCTTTACATTTGAACATGGACTCCCCCTGGGGTCGAGAAAGAAAGCCATGAAATAAAATATGATTAGGGAGAGAGAGCACAAAATACTGATTCTTTTCGGAAATAACTAATAGGTTTCAATAGAGTGAGATTTCTCTCAAAGAATGTTGCTCAAAAAGTTAATTCGCAGGACCAGCAGTTAGCGTAATGGCTATGTCGCTGGACTCCCATGTAGTCGACTGTGGTTCATGTCCCGGACCCGGTGGCTTAAACTCACGCCGGGTACATGTGCATGTGTGCCCAAGATCCCGAGAGGAGAATGGAGGAGAAGGGAATGTGGCGTGGCCATCCCCCCTGGGGGGTGATTTCTCTCTTTCTATCTCTCTGTCTCTCTCTGTCTCTGGTGAGCACACACACCCTATAGCAAAAAGCCTCTCCAAAATAAATAATTTAAAAACAACTGACCTAAATGCCTCAAAAACTACTAATATTAATGACATAAATGACAAAGAAATGCCAAGAACCCAATTTAGATTAACGGGTTATAAAAAGACATGATAAATTCATGGTCCTGGATTGGAGGGAAGAGTGCTATAAGGAACTGTTGACTAAGGCAATAGATAAAAACTTAATATAAATCCAGAATCTTAATACAGAATCATGCTACCTTAGTGTTAAATGCCTGGACTCCATCACAGTGTTACAGTCATGTAAGGGAATGTCCTCCTTATTTAGAAATACACCCTGATGTATTCCTGGCAGTGGACCTCAGTCAGCTGCTTACTCACAATACAAATAACAAATTCAGGAGAGAAACAACAAGAGGGGAATAAGACATTGCAACAGTGCTGCAACTTTGTTATTGAATGTTTATTGTTTACCAGGCAGTGCGCCAAGAACTAGAAATAACAGATAAAAAGAAACTGTTGTCTTCCTCAGAGAACTTAGAGTCTGGAGGAGGGAGCAG